AGCAACTTAAATGATGTGAAAGACTTCTTATGAATTTACCTGCCCCCCCCCAATTGGGTCTACAGATTTTAAAGGTATTGATAATATCTCTCAGGTGATGTCACAATTCACTCTCTGTCAAATTTGTATTCAACACCTACCAGTTTCTTTTCTGTGTGTATTTACGAACAGTCAGCCAGCCTGGGTCCAGGCTCTGAGAGCGCCCCCTGACCAGGGTGCCTCCGGTGAATGGGGCCAGGGAGGATGACTGCGGATGACTGACCTGAGCTGAGGGTGGCTGCAGAGAAGGGCCTAGAGGGCCCTTCTCCTTGGAACTCACACTCGCCTGCAGCCTGACTGCCACCTGCAGACCCCTTGGCAGGGAGTGGGGTGGGGATCAAGCACTCCCCAGGGCAGTCTGTAGCTGGGCCCTGATTCTAATTCCTGCAGAGATGGAGAAAGAGCAGCATGCTCACCACTCCACAGCAGAGAAAGACAATTGCATTTTTAAAAACTCTGCACTTAAAAAATACACAGAACAGAAACAGACTCACAGACGTGGAGAAGAACAGATAGGCGGCTGCCAAGTGAAAAGGGGTGGAGGAAGGGATGGACTAGGAGTTCAGGGTTAGTACATGCAAACTATTGCATTTAGAATGGATAAACCAGTTCCTACTGCATAGCACAGGGAACTATATCCAGTCTCCTGGGATAAATCATAATGGAAAAATATTTTTAAAAAAGAATGTATACATGAGTATAACTTAGTCACTTTGCTCTACAGCAGAAATTAGCACTGCATTGTAGGGCTTCCCTGCTGGCTCAGATGGTAAAGGATCCTCCCGCAATATGGGAGACCTGGGTTCGATCTCTGGGTTGGGGAAGATCCCCTGGAGGAGGGCATGGCAACCCACTTCAGTATTCTTGCCTGGAGAATTCCATAGACAGAGGAGCCTGGCGGGCTACAGTCCATGGGGTCACACAGAGTCGGCCATGACTGAGCGACTAAGCACAGCACAGTACATCAGTTATACTTCAATTAAAAGTGTGTGTATAGGCCTGCAGGGGCATGGTGGGTACTTGGAATGATGGGCCATGGGAGGTGGTGGGAAAGAAGAGATGCTGAGCAGGCAAGAACTATCTGCTGGTCCCTGATGGAAGCCAATCCAGCGTCCCAGGCAAAGGTCTCCACTGAGCCACAGGCAGAACCAGGTCAGAAGGCCAGCTTTCCTGGTGCCTGCAGAGTCTCCTCGTTCCTTAGATGCCAAAGGTCAGCATCAAGGCAGGGTCAGTCCCTTCCGTGTGCACTTGCACACTCCCTTATTTCCACATTCTTCCTGAAGGATGCTATAGACAGGTCCCTCCTTGCATGCCTTTGCATACTGACAGGAGCTCCTGCCTCGGGGTGTGGGCACTTCCTTCAGGATGCGTTTCTCCAGGGGAGGAGTTCTGTAGCTGAAGCCAGTTGTCAGCACACCCACCCAAACAGCCTGCTCAGGCTTTCCCAGGGGTCAGGCTCCGCAGCACCCCAACTCCCAATCCCAGTTTCCAGTGAGCCTGACCTGCATGGGCACACAGTCCTCTGCTCCGTGCAAGTTGGATTTGTCTGCTCCAGAATTTCAATATTGGAGGGCTTTGAAGAGGGTGGTCAAGATCTGGGGTGGGCAAGGGTCTTATCCTGAAGTTCATCTCAATGGAACAAACACACGTTTCACGCAAATGCTAGATTTGTTACCGGAACCTAGAGAAGGGTGTTGGAGTGAAGGCGCTAGAGCTTTTCTTAAGCCCCTCTTTGGCGTCACCGCCTGCCTCTGCCATCCAACTACACGCGAAGAGTGCAGAGACCTAGTCTTCCAGGTGATAAGAGCACTCCAGTTCACGGCCTCTCCCCTCTCTCATTCCTTGGGCGGGTGGGGCTGCCCCCGCGTCCTGCCTCTAGAGGGCGCTGTTGGAGAGGTGGTACCGCCAGCTGCAGCCTCGGGCTCAAAGAGGGCGCCCCAGGGACTCCACCCCTAACCCCTGGCCTAATTTGAATATTTCATTGGCTGCCGCCAGTCTGGTCAATTTATCATGCAAATACGGGTGCCCTCGCGCCAGAGAGGAGCCACCGCCCGCGCAGGAGAGCGGCGCCCGATTGGTGGCCGAGACAGCTGCATTTGTAATATTTTTCTTTGGGCATTAGAGTCATTTACCAATGCCATCGCCGCAACTCGAGGCACTGAATCACAAGCCACTTAAAGGTTTTTATTGGCAGCTTTGAAACTTCTTAACATGTTCTTTTGTTTCAAACCAAGTATCAACCTACTGCTGGCCGCCCACCCTCCCTCCCCCCACTCCCCCCGTCTGCCCTAAAAAAACTGCAGCAGCTACAAACTACTTTTTTCTCTCTTAATCTGTGCACTGGGTGACGGCTTCTGCCATGTCACAGTGAGGAGGACTAGACCTCTTTGGGATGAACACTTGGTAGACTTGAAATAAATAATCTTGGCAAATTGTTATGGGGTTCAGACACAACTGACAGCAGACAAACAAGGAACCAGAGAGTAACAAGAAGAAAGAGGAGGAAGATTTGGGAAAGAAAAGTGCAGAAAGATGAAGAGGGAAGGGAGAATTCAGAGCTGCTCTGTGCAAGAGGAAATTCTTGGAGTTATCAAAGCTGCCGAAAAAAAGAGACTATCCGCATACAAAGAAACTCAACCTGCTGGCCACCGTGTCCCAAAGAATTCTGGGTTTGCAATTCTGGAAATACAAGTGCTATGCACCCAAGTTTCAAGAAATAAAAATGACAAAGAACGAGGTCCTAGCCCAGTATACCTCTCTTGTACCTGCCCTACTGAGAATTGCGCCCGGTCTCGATTTCCCCCGTTTGGAAATTCAGCGACAAACACAAAACCATAATATATAAGAGAAAAGAAAAGCGATTAGAAGAGGAGAAAGAGAAAACGAAATTGCTACTCGTCTTGCAAATTCCCCGGCTAGTTAATGAGGTCACCAGGCTTGCAACCTGGGCTGTCTGGTTTGAGAAGACCTGGTGGCTTGATTTCTGAGACCTCCTCCTCTCCGGGGTTCCTGCATTGGACGAGCCTGAGCTCAGCCTCGCGGTGATTCACAGGCAGGATTCTGTCCGCGGAACTTGCATCCACGCGGGAAGAGCTGGGCACCTTTGCTTTCCAGCTAGCAAAGAGCTGCTTGCTTCCAGCCAGGGGCGAGCCCCACAGTGGCTGCTGCTGCGTTGAGTGTAGAGTTTTTTTCCTTAAGCTTTGCCTAAATGGTTTATAGAAATCCATTTCACCCAGAGTGGGAAAAAACACGCCTCGCTGTAGCGAGTAATTCTGGAAATTCCCCGAGCAACTCAGGTCAACGCAAGGGATTTGATCAAAGGGCATTTTGCCAGTAATTGTGTCCTCCAAGCTGGTCTTAATGTACATCTGTCTTTCTTAGACAGAAACACGAAGACTTTCTATTTTCTTTAATACTAGATCTCCTAAAAAAGTTTTTTGGAAAAGTTCGGTGAAGGGCTAGGCTTGAAAGATAATTATGTGAAAAGGGGAAGCGGAGTCTAAACTGTGCTCCCCAAATCTGAAAATCCGGTACTGAGAGCAGAGGAGAGCCCCAGGGTGTTAGGGACTGAAAATCCCCAGCAGGTCTTGGGAAACCCCAGAAAGTAGTCCCTACCAATCACCCAGCTAGGAGATGGGTCTGTAGGCATACCCGATTTCCTTCCAATAACGGCGTTCCCTCCCTCCCAGTTAGGTACATAGCTTTTTTGTTTTTAAAGATGCTTATAATTGCCTGGAAATCCCAAGTCTGGGGGCGGGGGGCGGGGGGCAGGGGGAGGCAGGGGGAAATGAGACATTAAGGAGGGGACCTGCTGGCTCTGGCTTTCTAGGGGGCATGACTGGGTCAGCTTCCATCCAAAGTTCAGGAAGTCCCAGTTATGCCCAGTTCAGGGATGGCCCGCGGCAGCCTTGCTCCGCTCAGCTCCAGCAGACAGCAGATCTCAAGGCTGGCCAGGGAAGATCAAAGGTCCTTTTTGCCTTTGAGTCGGGTGGTCCTGGTGGGATTGGCAGACCTGCAGAGAGCAGAGTTGCAAAGTTGGGCCAGACCTCTGTGTTGGAAACACAAGAAATTTACCAAGTAGGAAGCCAGCTCTGGGGAGGAAGGGTTGGTAGCCTGTGTACCCAAGTGTGTGGGGAGTGGGATGGAGGGGACTGGGGAGACTCACATTCTCAGCACCAATTCTTGGGCCAACTGAAGTCTCCCACTTTTCTTCCAGGAGTGCCTTGCCCCGCCCCCAGCTCCCATCCCTGGGAGCCTGATGTAGCTCCCCCGAGGCCCCACAGAAGTGGCATTAATATACCGCTCCGATTTTCCAAGGTTTATTTCACGTCAAAACTGTAAAAGTTCTTGGGAGAATTTACAGACAAAACATCTGGTTCGTTAAAACAAAGCTACCGGAAAAAGAGAAACAAACTTCGCTGCTGTGTAAATGCACTTTCAGCAAACAATTTACCGCCTGGCTAGGGCCTGGCCCCAGGGTCCGAATTCTTCCCGTCAGGGCAGGGGCTGGGGTAGGCAGGTGGTGGCAGTCCGCCTCTTGGCACCCAGGGCACCTTCTCCTGCCTAGCCCAGGTTGTGGTGACAAGGTGTGTCAAAGGGTCCAGACCACAGCGCCGACGTTCCAGGCGGGCTACAGCTGGAGAGCCCTCTCTGCCGCCTCCTCCCGCAGGCGCAGGCACTGGGCTCCCCAGTGGCCCACCGGGCGGGCCAGGTCCCCTCACACCTTGACACGGGGTGTAGGCTCCCGGAGGGCGCTGTCCCTGCGGGCGGCCCGCGCCTCCTCCGGAGAACTCTAAGGTCTGTATTTAGACCCTTGGGTCCCCAGCCCGCGCTGGCTACCCGGCCTGGATAGCCAGCTGCAAGGATGCCTTCTTTGCGGACGTCTTTTTCCTTCTGGCCATCCCAAGTGAGGACACACTCAATTCAGCCTGGTTTGGGACCGGCCGGCGGTCACTCAGCTCTCAACCGCACTTTGAAGGCAACCTCGGCTGCCTCCAGGCGGTGGCCCGCCTGCTCCTTCCCGAGCGCGAACTTCCTGACTCCCCGCGCCGCGCGCCGCGGTCCGGATCCTCGCCCCTCCACCGCACACTTGTTTCGAGCCACACGCCTGCGTACTTCTCCCCTCCTCGACTTCTCCCGGCTAGGCTCGGGTTAGCCAAGGACAAAAACGCTCCCGGGGATGGGAGAGACCCGTTCAGGTAGGCCCGGCGCTGCCGCCTGGGGTCCGTGAGTTCCGGGAGCTGGAGTCGGGCTTCTAACCCCTTGACCTGAAAGAACGGCTGTTGGGACCATTTGTACTGAACAGGGCTCAGAATCCCGCCGCAGAGGAGGAGCGGGGTTCCATTGCGCCCGAGGGGCAATCTTGGGGGTCAGGAGTTGTCTTCATGGCCCCTGGGAATTTGGGGGGCTCTTAACAGGGTGGTCCAGCTGATCGCAGTGGGAGCCGCCAGTTTCCCCTACAGGCGGTTGCCACCGGACATTTTGGCATCTCCCCACTGTCTCTCAGCCCCCTTCTCCTTTTATTTTTTAGGGGTGTAAAAAATTATTCTCAGAAACACGGCACTTCCCAGAGGGGGCCACTTTTTGCGTGACTCACGCGGCTAAGTAGTTACCAGGTGCTTCTGCTGGGCAGAACCCTATTGTTGCTTTTCAAAGGAAAGGTCTCTGCAACTCTTCAGAGTGGGGTACAAAGATTTCTGCACCGTGTGCCTTCTACAGAATTCTAACTCCTCCGCCGGGCGCGGGCTTTTCCGCCCTCTAGTCTAGCGTGGAAATGGTTCGGCTGCTGGATGCGGTGCGCGAAGCCGGCACCCTAGAGCGCGGACCGTCCTTCCCAAGGAAGGAGCCCCAGCTAGCGCCGCCTCAGCTGTTTCTGGCCTCCTCCTGAACCGCGCAGGCCTCGGCGCACGCCTGAAACTGGTTTCTGTATCCCTCTGAAGTCGGGAATCGTGGAACCATGAGACGCACAGGTTTTGACCCGCGTGTGTAGTCAACTCGGAGGGACCGAACTCACCAGGCACCCGGACAGATATATTTTCAGTAGTAATAACACAAATATATCAGGGGAAGTGCCAGGGACAGCCGTCCCACAGATGTCCCAAGAGGAGGTTCTATGTACACTCTTCCTCTGAAGTTATTGGGAGGACATGAAAGGTCCTTGGCCCGGCCAGATTGATTGATCAGGGACATATGTGAAGGTGTCTGTCTTCTGGATCTTGGGTTAGGGGACGATAGGGAATAGCCAGAAGCAAAAAGCAGAGGAGCAGGCCACCACCTTCCGGAGTCAGCACTCCCGGGGAATGGTCGGCAACTCCCTGCAAAGCAATGGCTTCTCTAACTTATGACCTCGTTCTCTCTCCCTCTGTAAATAACATGTGAATTACAGACATACTGCCACCCAGAAACTATTTCTCCCTAAATCGAGCCCATAGTTCTCACTCGAATCCGTGAGAGCCCATGGATCCCTCCTCTTTTCTTCCCTTCTTGTCTCCTCACTGCCAGGCCATGGTACGAAGCAGCCAGGTGAGGCCTGGCAAACTTTTAGGTTGAGAGCTTCTGGCTAATACCTGCCTGGCGACCTCGACAGCCTTAGACTCTGCCAAGCTGAAGATTTAAGCCACGGAGTTGAGGTAGCTTCCAGGTCTATATCGTGCTTGCTGCGGATTTGGGAAACCTACCTCCCTTCTTTCCTATGCCACACCCAGTCCACGGAAAAGGGGCAGAGAACTTGGCAGAATGCAAGGGCTAGGTTGACACTGTTCCCCTGCACCTGTCCCATCCCTAGAATGGCCTGTAAAACTAATCATGTTTAGAGGTCCCGATATTAAAGTGGGTAGGTGTAGCTAATAGATCCCCGTAGAGATCAGGGTTCCAAGCTGTGCCAAGCCGGGCCGGAACCTTGTTTTCGTGCCTGGGCAAAGTAGCGCGGTCGCAGTATGCACCCCGCATAGCCCGTGTTGTGCGTGACGGGCTGTCGCGGCGATGTGCAGCTCACTGACACTGATGGATGCGCCAATGGTTGGACGGACAGATGTTGGGGCGGATCGCACTGCGCGCGGCGCCTGAGCGGGGGAGGGCGAGGCAGCGATCGGGCGGTGGCTGCGGGCTGCGCCGAGACCGGAGCTCAGGCCACGGCCGACAGGGGGAGAGGGCGGAGGGAACTGAGGTTTGGAAAGCTGCGCGGGTAAGGAGAGGAGGAGGGGGAGCACAAGCCAGGGCGAAAGTCTCAGCCTTTCAAGCACGGTGCCCAGCACTGTGCATTTGCTACAACCCGTGGACCCAAGCGGGCGCTCGGCGTGTGGAAGGTGAATCAGGGTGACAGGAGGTGACCTCCTGCGGCGCCTACTCTCCTTCAGGCGAGGGGTGCTCAGTGCCGCAACCAGAATCCTAGAATCCTGAGGCCGCGGGCGCCGTCTGCCAACTCACCGTTTTCTCCTTCGCAAGAAGCGTTTCACGCCCCACGCCCGCGTCTCCCGGGCCTGGAGGAAGAGTTGCTTTGGCCTCTGCGGCCGCAGGCATCAATTTCGCGCCACGCGCCCGCCCCCGAGTCTGCCGCACGAGGCCAGCCCGGGGCCCAGCCGCATCTAGACTCCAACTCCCCGCAACCGCCCAGGGTCCGCATCCCGCAACTCCGTGCGCTCGTGCGCACGCCAAAGCGCAGGAGGCGGCTTTATAGCCCCGGAGGACGGCGGCAGCACATCTGCATTCAGGGAGGCGTCTGGACCGAGCCCAAGCTCGCAGGCTGGGGGCGAGCGGAGACTTTTGATCTTACCGTCAGGGTGAGATCGAGGTCTCCAGGTCTAAAAGAAAAGAAAGTATGCCTGTGAACTTTTAAAACAAACTTGCAAAAAAACAATCACAAGGAAAAAATAAAGAGAAGAGGGGGCAGAAGAAGAGGGAGAAAGAGACTAAAAAAGAAACATAAGGGGGGGGGGGCGGGTAGGGAAAGACGGAAGAAGGCCGGGGTTTGCAGCTCCCAGAGCGCTCAGGCAGTCAGTCCCAGGGCGCGGGGCTTCGGCCCTCGCCCGGACTCTCGCACGCGGCGCACAGGGGACTCCCTGGGCCCCAGCGGCGCGCCCAGAAGCAGCACCGCCTAAGGGACGGTGGGCCCGACGACCGCCCCCGCACTCCCGCCACCGCCGACCGGCAGCGCCCGGAGCCGGCCCCGCCGCTGCCGCCCCATTCCCGGCCCAAGAGCTGGCCCAGGGAGACGCAATCGAGCCCGCAGCGCATCGATGCGCCGCCGCCCGCGCAGCTCCGGCTCCGGCTCCCGCTCAGCCGCCGCTGCCCTGGGGTCGTCCCAGTGAGCTCCGGCCCACCCGCGCCCTCGCGGCCGCCAGTAAGTGAACCCTCTTTGCCCCGCCGCCAACTCAGCCCTGCCAGCTCCTCCTCTCCACGATCCGCCGGGCTGCCCCGCAAGGAGCCTCGGCGACCCCAATCACCCAATCAATAATCAATTCTTTTTGCCCAATACTGCCGGAAGGCCAGGCGCGGGGTGCGTTAGCCCCTCTCGGGGCGCCCCGGGGCGGGGGATGGGCTTGAGTGTGTGAGTTCCTGCCCCCGCCCCCGTCCCGCCCTCGGATCTGCCAGAGCCCGTTGTGGGGGGCGCGGTCCGGCGCCTAGGGGGCTAGGGGTGGGGTGGAGGTACCGTGATCTTCCCAGTCTGGAGAGGAAACTTAAGAGGCATCCCCTCCCTCGCCGACCCCCAGGACGGGCCCGGGAAAGTTTGCCGGGAAAAAAAAAAAAAAAAATTGGGGAAAGTGGCGGCTGCGGGTCCCGGGGGAGGAGCTCGGGAGGCGCGCGGGGTCTGAGAGCAGCCCCCACCCGCTCCAACCCTCGCCCGCCTCCTCCCCTGAGGGCGCCGGGGCCCGCCCGCGGGCCCTGGCATCCCCGGGGTGCGCGGGCCCAGGCCCGTGGTCTGAGCTGGGGGCTTTGGACGCGGCTTGTGGAAAGGAGTACGGCCCGGGAGTGGCAGCGGGGGATAGCCAGGGGGCGAGGCCGGGTGGGGAAGAGGGGCGGGCGGGAGTAGCTAGTGCCCCGGGACAGGCTCGGCCGAGCCGGCGCCGCGCCCCTGCGTGCGCGCAGGAGGCGGAGGCGGAGGGGCGGCACCCCCTCCCAGGACTGGGCGGGGGTCCTAGACAGGCTCGGGGCCGGGAGCGGGGGCGCGGCGCCCCCGCGGGCGGGCGAGTGACACGATCATCTCCTTTTCCTTTAAGCTTGCCTGTTGCCGACGCCGCCGCTCCAGCCGCGCCGCGGGCAGAAGACTGGACCGCTGAGCCCCGGGCCGCGGCGGCGGCGGCGGCTGACCGCCCCCGCCGATGCCGTGACCCTCCTGCCCAGGGGCGGGGACCCGGACTTCACCGGCCGGGGCCGCTCCGGTGCTCCTCCTCCCACCCCTCTGCCCGCCTTCTCCCCTTGCTCCCCGCCCCCCGGCCCCGAACCCCGCGCACCTCGTCTGGGGACGGGGCGGGGGGGGGGGAGGGCAGGGCTGCCGCTCCTCCCCGCCCCTCCTCCTCCGGCCGCTGGAGCGATTTGTCAAACTTCCCATTCCGCCGGCAGCGCGGTCCTCCTCCTCCTCCTCCTCCTCCTTCACCACCTCCTCCTCCTCTGCCTCCTCCTCCCCCCGCGCTCCTCCCTCCCCGCGCCTCCCTCGCCCGCCCTCCTTCTTCCCTCCGCACGTTCGGGGATCGCGGCGGAGCGCGGAGCGGGGGGGACGCGGAGAGCCGGGGCGCAGCAGCATCCTGCGGGCGGCCGCTCTCCGGGGGGGAGGCTGAGAGCCGGCCCGCCTCGCCCCCCCGCGGGCCCGCCGCCCCTCCCTCCCTCCCTCTCAGCCCGGCAGCGGCGGCGGCGGCGGCGGCGGCAGTGGCAGTCGCCGGAGGAGCATCATGCCGAGGAGGAAGCAGCAGGCGCCCCGGCGCGCAGCAGGTACGAGCCGCTTCCCCTTCCTCCTCTTCTCCGCCGCCTCTTCCTCTCCTCGCCCCGCGTCTCCAGTCGGCGGCGACCCAGCTCCTTGCCCCGCTCCTCGCCCCTCTCGCTCTGGCCACGCAGAGTAACTCCGGGGCGCCGGGCTTGCTCACCGCTCTCCTGTCTGGTGCGTGCGCCCGCCTCGCGGACCGGCGCCCCCCGGACGCCCCGCTGCGCTCTGCCGCCGCCCCCCCGCCCGCCTTCCCGCTCGCACCCACTTCGGGAACCGCGCTCGCCCGCGGTGAACTGAGCGGGGCTGAGTCCCTGCCGCCTTTGCTCCCCGCCTGGCCGCCGAGGGGCTGGGAAGGAGCCCTTTTCTGTCTCTTTCTGTGGGGGGCGGGCGGGGTCACCTGAGTTCCCCGGGACACCTTCTGTGTCCTCCCGCGGCCGGCCGGCGGGGGACTGCCCGGTGTCTGCCGGGCAAAAGAGAGCGAACGAGTGAGCGAGCGGGTCCCTTTGGCCACCTTACTGCTAATCCGATTGATTCTTCATTTATTGGGCCCAAACCGGGCACAGCGGTGGAAACCAGAGCGCACAGAGTCTGGGTATTGTCAGATGACTGTCAAGTCGATGTTAGATGCTGGCGTTCTCTTTACCCTGGTTCGTTTTCGCTCACCCCCACCTTCTTCTACTGCTTCTCCCACCCTTATTTCCTGCTAGCACTTAGTTCTGGGATGTATCTGAGTACTTACTTCGCCGCCCCCCGCCCCCCCCCCCCCCGCCCCGCTCCTTTTTTTTTTTTCTTTTTTCTTTTTTTTTCCCCCAGGAGTGTCAACTCCTGTTAAGACTGAGCCGATTTTTTTTTCCCTCTTCTTTTCTGGAAAAAGCATCATTGAAAGCAAAACAAAACCCACACACATAACATTATTTTGCAATAATGTCAGTTGGGGGCATGTTGCTTGGAAGAAGGGATTCTGGCCCTTTGCCACCCTTGATTTGATGACTGATTGATCGCCCGTCATGCTGCTGCCTTTGATCTATTCATTCCCAATAAACATCAATAAATCACTCGAAATGGTGAGGCCAAGCTCTGTGACGTCACTCAGGCCCTGTCAGTGCAACTTCTGGGATTTTGGGCGGACTGCTGAGAGGACCACATATGGACTGGATGTATTTTGATATGAGTATAACACTCAGATGTGCAGAGGTTCAGATGCTGCCTGAAGGGGAGGGTTAAATGGAGGTTCATTTTTTCTTCTCTTCCTTTCTTTTCTGTGCTTTTCTTTTTGTGGAAGAAGGGAGGACAGGGAGAAGGGTCAGGGCTTTGCCTGGCGCCCTTCTAGGATGGTGTTGTAACCACGCCGCCGGTGAGTGCATGTAGTAGCAGTGGGGATGATGCTGATGGTTATTTCCATGGCTTCAGCGGACATTGCCGGTGGACCTCACACACTGGCTGCACTCTGAACTTGAGTTTTCTCACACAGGGTCACAGAGAGCTGTTCTTTCTTCTCCCAGAAATGTACTGTCCTGTTAGTGTCCTAAGGAAATTGTAGAAGAAAACAGACTTGGTTTGGGGCATATGTTGCCGATTTTGCTGTCTATCCTCAGTTACCTAAATTTAGAAAGTTTGAAAATCACAGTGGTGGTTGTAGGGAGGGTGCCACCTCTCCAGTCACCTTCTGGCTAGTGCTTTTTTGCCCTTCCCATCTTCTACTTTAAATTCCAAGCTCAAGCAATGAGCTTATCTACTCAAAATAAACTCTCAAAGTTTGGAGGACTCCTTTACAAAGTTGGACAGTAGGAGTGTCTTGGGCTGCTTCCAGTCTTTGAAATTTTTTTTTTCTTTCCTTTTTGGATGCACATTTGAAGGTATCTCTCTGCCTCAATCAAATGAACCATATGTGATTACATCTTTACATTTGGTTTAGAGCCCTCTCCGCCGTTGCCTCATCTTTTCTCTTCCACCTTGCCAATCTGAGACTCTTATTTGATAACTTTCTGCTAAAAATATTAGAGGAGGAGGAGGAAGTATGCTGTTGATTTTATTTTTTTAAAAGCAACCTGTTCACTAACCTTTTTGCACCTTTAAAAAATGCCAGCCAGGAAATCTCAGGTCAGTTAAGAAATGTTCATTATATAAAAACTTGACTGCACGACTAATAGGAGCTGGAAGAATGGTTTTGCTCTATCAAAATGACCCGTCAAAACGACTTTGTTTCATATTTGATTTAATTGTCTCTCTCCTGACAGGCACATTCATCAATAGCTTAATGGTCAATCAGAAGTTGGCAGCGTGAGTGCTTTTTTTCTTTCCCATACCCTGGTTTTGGATTTACTTTATCAGAATGCCTCTGCCTAATGGACGTGTGGAGGAGGGGGTGGGGAATGTCTGAAGGGCTACTTATTTAAGGAGAGTGGAGGAATAAAAAAAACCTTCCACATCCAGGCTGGTGATAAGTATGCACAGGCCAGTATGTGTGCTGTGTGAGTTTGTTTGTTTGTTTGGATGGGCAAGAAACTTCCATTTTTCTTTTTTTTCTCCTTTTTCAGTTCTCACAGCTGCAAGTTATAAGGTTCATGCCTGCTTTTGTGGCATACTGGGAGTGATGACAAATTGATTGCTTTGTACTGATAGAGAAAGAGAGTGGGAAAAAGAAAGATGTCTGCTGATTGGTAACTGGAAATCCAGTCCCAGCAACCTTGAGAAGACTCGAGAATTTTTTCTCCCCCTCCAAACTGAAAGGTCCGCTCAGCCATAAAAAAAGAAAAGTTGTTTTGCCAGCTTCATTAGTGTTCACCTAATTAGCTGTAAACCTGATGGATTCCTGACAGCTTTAATGATTGGAGATGACAAGCTCGACGCAGTGTCATCCCGCAGAATTAGGTTTGCAGCTAGTTTGATGTAATCAAGTTGATATTACACAGTCCTGGCTGCCTTTAGTTGTGCATTAACTCAATTTTCTGCTGCAGGTGACAAATGGGCTTTGGTACCTGGATAATCATGTCATAGGAATTAGGGCCCTTTTAATGGTCTGGGGTAGAATAACAACCACAAAGGGCTGAGAGCTGGGGAGAGCCTGCAGACATAGCACACAGGTGCACACAGTTTTTACATCTAGGCCAAATGTAGTGCTGTTCTCCAGAAGGCCAGAGCAGGCTCCAAGAATCCCTGAAAAGACGTATTTCTGCACTTTAGGATTTTCTCTTTTTGATAGAAATTATGCATGGCAGAGTGTCTTTTCTCAAAGGGAAGAGAGAAATTTCTTCACCTGCCAAAGAGAAACCTGGGCTGGAGTTTCCTTTCTCCAGGCATGTAATTTCAAAGGGCTATACATTTGTGCTGGACAAATGTCATTACCCATAGAAGCTCAGAGAGCAGCGGGGTGACAGAGGCCAGCGTCCTTCAGGTAAAACGACCATTTTCTCTCTCTCCTATGTGTAGTGTTTGTTTTTCAGTAAGCATGTTTTTTGAAGATAGCAGAAAAGAAGTTCGAGCAGTACTTAATAGCAGATCACCTTTTATTCTTTCCTATTCATTCTCTGGAAGGAAGTGTAAAATCTTAATAAGCACTTGCCTAAAGTCCCCCCGCCCCCGGCGGGAAAAAGAAAAAGGAAAGAAAATCCAACAACAACTTGTCATTGACCTTTTGAGTCTTATTTGGTGAAAAAGAACAACCGTCCATGGAGTTCTTAGGCAGCTGTATTGCAAAGGTAAACCTTCAAGCATCTTGACTTTTGTCAAAGTGGTCTGGACCCCTTAAGACCTGCTGGAGTAACAAATCACTGCGGGTCCCCAAGGAATAGGTTGAGCTTGCGGTGGCAAGGCCTGGGGGTTTTACTTTGTGGGTAGGCATGGGCGAACTAGATGGTCCACTCGGTGAGGGCCACGTACCACCATCCTAACCTTCTTAAGTCACGTCCACATTATCAGGCAGCTCCGGAGAGGAGCTTTTCCCTCTTGGAAGCACATGGATCATTCAGGAAGGCATTTCGGCCTCCGCTTTGGGAATTCATTTGATCTCAAAAACCTGCCACACATCTCTCCTTTGGACAGACACTCTACCCGGTAGCAAGGTGACAGAATGACTGTTTTTGGTCACCCTGTGTTTCTCCCTCCCCCCTTTTCCTACAAAACGAAAGGAACAATGTAAATTTTTTAAAAAGAGAAATTAAGAAGCTGAAGGAGAGAAACAAAGAGGGCAGGAGCCAAGGCCATTCCCCTGGACATCCACGGAGGGGAGAGAAGCTTCCAGAATTGGCTGCTGTGCCCCCATTATCTTGACAACTGCCAGTTAGAGCTTCAGTGCTCTCCAGGGCCACCCTTGATTGTGAGCGGTTGATGTTGTCATTTTGTTCTCAGTTTTGCCTTGAGCGCGCTCGTAAGCGGAAGCCAGGTAGTCAATAACTGGTGTATCAGCAGTTATTCCCCAAATTGCCTCACAAGTCTGCATTCCCCCCCCCCCCCCGCCTTTTTTTTAACTAAAGATTGTTTTGTAAAGTGATTAGAATGAAAGGTGACTGCTCAGGGCCCGGGGAAATGCCTTGAAACCCAGGTGAGTTCCCAGAATGAAAACCCCAGTTTCCCCGCCCTCCACTTCTGGGATTCTGGAAGGGGAAGGATCACCTTCTGGAGGGCGAAGTGGCATCTTTCCTTTTTCCTGGCATCTGGCAGAGCCAGGCTGGGGCTAGGGCTGCGGATGCAGTCAGGGAAGGAGTGGGAAGAGGATGGGAGTCCTGGTTCGGGTGGGTGCCCCACAGTCATCTTGAATAACAGGAGCAGGCCAGTTATGCCGAGAGCAGTTTGTGAGGCTTTCCTGCTGGCCCATTTTTATTCCTGCCTATCACTGGACAAACTATAAAAATAGCTTTAGTCTTGTAGTAAAAGAAAGAAAAAAAGTAGGGTGTGTGTCTACTTTCTGTGTTTGTCTGCAGCCCAGGTTGGGAGGCCTTTCAGAGAAGCTGTTTTGTAACACCCCTGTAGCCTCACCCCATGGCCCGTGTTGGAAACAGGACAGAACATA